TGTAAAAAGTCCTTAGGAGGCCGAACCTCGACGGGGGATTTCCTTTGATTTTATGCCTTGTTTTCGTATTTTAAGGCCTTGTTATTTTGGTTTATGAGATGTTAGTATGATAAGGAAAATTGTTTGAATTTAAAATGTTTGATTCTGTTATTCCTTGTGCTGGCCGAACCACCCTCTAAGGGATCTTATGTGTGGCACGAACCACCCTCTAAGGGATCTTAATATTATTCTGGTGATTAGTATTAGGTGATTTAAGTGTTTAAACATGTTAAATGGATTTGGATTAAAGATGCTTAATATTATGAAATAAATTTCAGGACTTGATTTATAAAGAAAATTCACAAGAAGGCCCGAAAACTTCAGCCAAAATGATTAATTTAATTAATTTAAAATTATTATAAAGAAATTAATTAAGGAAATAAAAAGAACTCTTAAAATTCAAATTTAATTAAGAGAACTTGAGAACTTGATGGAAATTAGGTACGTTGCAAAATTTGGGCCTAAACATGGACGCTAGTGACCAATTCAAGTGACTAATGACTTAATGAGTACTTATTTGAGGACCTATGGAACCAATTAGTGGACCAATTGGATTAATTTGACTAATTAACTTAATTAAAAGGTTCTAGAAATAATTGAAGGACTTTAGTAAAGACTTAGAGACCTAATTTAAATAAAATGTGAATCTATTAGGTCAAAAATGGTTAAATTAATTAATAAGGTGAATAGAGGACTTAATGTAATATTGAAATTCTCATGTTACCGTAATAATTACATTGAAGAAAATATATGAAAAATGTGGATTAGTAGTAATATTATTGATGGGTGAATGAGAGCTTTTAATATTTACCATTTTTCGAGTACGCATACAAAGAGAGTATAAAAAATATTTTTTACCTTAAAATGGACAATAATCAAAAAATAATGAATAAATAGATTAACAATAACAACAACCACGAACAAATATATAATAATGAATAATAATATACATTAATAATAATAAATAATAATAATAATAATGAATAACAACAACAACAACAGCAGGTAACAAATAATGAATAATAATAAATAATAATGTAACCAATCACATAATAATAATTAATAATCAATAGATCAATATAATAAATAATAGTAATAATGAATAATAATAAATATAAATTAATAAATAATAATAATAGATACAGTTAACACATAAATACAGTAAATATATAATAATTATAATAGTAACAATAATGAATAAATAATAATCGAATAAACAAATCACAATAATAATATATAATAATAATAATAACATACAGTAAAGCAATATATACTAACAATACTAATGGATAGGACAACCAACAACAGACAACAACTATTATTATTATATTATTATTAATTTATTATAATACACTATTTACAATGAACGGAAGTGAGATAATAATAATAATAAAATGAATAATAATATAATTAGATAATAATAATAACAGTACTGAAAAATTCCTAAATCGCAATCTATACAAAGGAACCAGATCATAATTTATTTATACATAAAAACAAATAAACATCGCAAAAAAAAAGGGGATCGATAAAAATAATCGGCAAACGCAGAAACTTACCTGACAATTGTTTCCAAACCAGGCAAGATAGGAGTGGACCGGAGTTCCCAACGAGAGCGGAGACAAGGCTAGGGCGGCAGTCAAGGTTCAGGGGCTGGAGCGGCGTCACAAGCGGAAAGATGCCTGGAGCGGTCAGACTCCTTAGCGCCAACGGCGGAGGAGAGGAGAGGAGGAAGGAGAAGAAAGACAAGAAGAAAGAAAGAAGAAGGGATGGCGTCTGGCTTTTTAAAGGGCCCTAAAGTTTTGGAGCGGCGTCAGGAAGAGCTGGAGCGGCACTGCGAACGGAGGAGAGGAGAGGAGGAGGAGAAGAAAGAAAGAAGAAGAAAGAAGAAGGAGGGCGTCTGGCTTTTAAAGCCCTAAATTTTGCGACCGACACATCGGTCGCAAATTTCATTAATATCGGTCGCAAATTTTAGCTGTGTGACGTCGTTTCACTTCGCAATAAAATTGCAACCGATATGCGACTGAAATTGTCGGTCGCATATAATCGGTCGCAATTCGGTCACAAATCGGTCTCAGAACTTATTCCTAATTTTGAAACGCGCAATGTTGCGATGGAATGTAAGGAAATCGCAAATCGGTCGCAAACCGAAAAACAAAAACGCGAGAATTTTTAGCGCTACAATTTGCGACGGCTTGTCCATAGGTCGCAAATCGGTCGCAATTATGCGCTTTTTTGTAGTGTAAATTAGCAAGAGAATAATAAAGGGTTATAAAGATAATTGAAATTGATTGAATGTACATTTAAGATGAAATGTGAGGACCTTTATATAAAGGTTTATTAACCTCCTTTTAGATGCTGATTAAGAATCGTAGTAATTAGTGCTCAATTAATATTTTACTTTCCAGCATAGTTTGTATTGATTATTGAATAGGATAGCTCAAGCGAGTGTTGAATTGCAATCACCTAATGCCTCAAACTTGAACTAAGCGCGAGTCTCTTTTCATTTACTAAATTATTAAAATTCATAATTATAGGGAACAATAAGTTCATTACAAAGTTTTTAGTACATGTTTTTTCATAAAAAAATTATAAGGATAAATTTACGTATTCGAATTTCTTTTTTAGTTATCCTCAATTATAAAATTATTTTTTTTCAGAGTTCAATCATGATTTGTTAATCATCTAAAAAATCTTTATTTAAGTTGCCTTAGTCTGAATTATAGATTGCTTTTCTTTTTTTGAGTGTACAATTCATATTGTTAATCATCTAAATATATATTTATTTAAATTACCTTGTTATCAACAAATTTCCAATTTTGTGCAATATTAATATAAACATTGGGATAGCTCTCTCTTTCCTTTTCTCTCTTTCTCTCAAAATCTAAAATCTAAAAGTTCTCTTTTCTTTCACAGATCTGAATTATTGTCGCCTAAATATTTAGATTTATTGTTGTCCATATTTTGTGATTTTGCTCTCAGATCTGATTTTGAGTTACTCTTATCATCATTATAACGATTTTGTGTAGCGTCTTTTATTATTTGGATACTTATGCAAAAAGAAATATAGATCTCCTCTCCAATACAAATAAGAAGGTTAAACTTGTAGAAAGACTATGAAGTCGAATAGTAGCCATGAATAGCCACCAAGTAGAGTAAGCGATCGTTTATGACATAAATATTATACTATGTTAACTCGATCAGATATTTTAAATCAAAATTGTGTTTCTTTATACTTTATATAAGTGGTTTAATATTAGACTTTTTATACAAAAATATAAAAGCATATTGATTTATACCCTATATTTATATAAAGTTTCCAATTAATAAAATTTATAGTTTAATTTTTTTCTAAAAAAATATCAATATAGGGATAAAAATAAGTAAATTTTAATATTTAAATTATATTAATTAAATTTCCTTTTTTTTGAATATTAAAATTAATATGTCAATTAAGTGTAGTTTAATTAATCTATTCAAATTCTCATTTATATGAGAAGTGAAAATTTTCGAATTCGAATCTTTTCTACCAATTTGGTGAATGAAGAGAGGATTACCCTATTCTGTAGTCTGTGACGACCCTATTCTGTAGTATAAAATGAGAGACCATCCTATTCTATAGTATAAAATCAGAAAATTACCCTATTATGTAGTTTACATCCAATGTTTCTTTGAACATTCGAATGAATAAAAAAAATTAAAATAAATATACGACATAATGTGTTCTCAATAACATTGCAAATGGGTGCAGCAAATTCCGATTTGCTTAATGAAATCCTTTCGTAGATGACAATTTCACTCCACCTTCATAGCAAGCATTTATGCTATTCCAAACTTAAATTAGGAGTCTCTAATTCAGCAAAAATTGCAATCTAAAGGAACTTTATAATTCCTCAATCTGTTTTTTTTTTTTTTTTTTTTTTTTTTATTCCGATTTGCTTAATGAAAAATCCTTTCGGTAGATTTTGAACAATTTCATTCCACCTCATAGGCAACCCGCATTTAAATGCTATTCCAGTACTATTAAATTAGGAGTCTCTAATTCATAGCAAAAATTAGCATCGTATAAAAGGAACTTTATAATTCTCCGCCCAATCTGTTTTTTTTTTTTTTTTTTTTTTTTTTTTTTTTTTTAATTTTTGATTCTCAAATATCCAATTCTAAATTTTAAAATTATATATACATCAAAAATAAACTTTCAACAATTTTTTTATCTTCAGTTTTTCCCATTTCTAAAATAACTTACGGATTGGCTTTTTTATCCAATAAATAAAAATAACTAAAAACCTAAAATCCTTTTTTTTTTTAAATCCTCATCTTTACCATTAGACTTGAACCATATACATATCTATAAAGAGAGACAATTACCAATCTAAAAAAAATAAATAAAAAGGTTTGAGTTTGACCCACAGTAACTCGTTCAAAGGAGTCACTATCTAACCTCAGAGCGTTTGCTTTTTCTTAATCCTTTCTTAACAATAGCAATAGCAATACCAACCCCACCCGCAGCAAACCCAAACTCCACCAATTGTTAAACCTTCTTTTCCAATTTTTTCTTTTTATTCCCAAAATAGCCCCATCTCCCTCTCCAACCATTTCAACTTTCAGCATTCAAAAAACCATAAAATTTCATAATTTATAACAAATTAACAACATAAAACAGCAAATTTCCTCTCCATTTTCTGACACAATCTCGATTAAGTTACCATATCCCATCCAATACATGTAATACTCTCTTCATCAAAATTTCAAATTTCAAAATTAAAAAAAAAAAAAAAAAATCCCCAACACATGTAATAGCTCCTCTTTTCAATGCCAAATTTCAAATTTTCAAATTAAAAAAAAAAAAAAAATCCCAACCAAAAAAATTAAAAATCCACGCCCCGGGTCGTATTGCTCTTAAACTTACCAAAATAAAAAAAAAAAAAAAAAATCCCCAACCAAAAAAATTAAAATCCCCCGTCTATCTCTTACTTGAAAAAAAAAAAAAAAAAACCTGTAGTAGTCACGAATTCCTCTATCAATCCTTGTTATTTCCTGATATTACTTTCTCCGGAAAAAAAAGAACGAGAAAAATAAAAAAAAGGCCCTCCATTTCTTGATATTTTCAGTCTTGAAACCCAGTTTTTTCCCAAATTGCATTTCTGACCCTGCTCAGATCCCTTCCTTTCAATGTCCTTCCCACTCCTTCATGTACAGAGAATGATGCGATTCTCGTCCTCGCCATCTGTTTCGCCAGAAACTCGTGCGGTGGAACCCTTGATCCTCCATCGAAGTAATCTTCGCCGTCCACATCATCGTCGTCGTCATCCACATCTCTCCTCCGATTCTCCCTATACTCGTCTTTCAATATCTTCGACCAGTCTGGTATGTTCACCGGAAGTGACGACGGAGTCGCGCCTGCTTGGTCACTGCGTCTGGTCGTTGCAGCCACTGCTGTTGATTTCTTACCGAGTCTCGAACTCGCCATAGCTTTACGAAACTCGGGCGAGTTAGAACGAGTTGTCACTGAGTTATTATAAACATCAGACTCGTCGAGTTCGAATGCCGAAGAATCGTGTGTGAGTGGCGCGTGCAGGCTCTGGTCGCTTGATAAGAACCGGTAGTTTTGTCTAGCAAAGTAGCTCTTACTGGTTGCCATTGAAGAATATAAAAAGATCACTTATGTCTTTCGGCTTCAGCTCTCTCTCTCTCTCTCTCTCTCTCTCTCTCTCTCTCGCTCGGTCTGGCTTTGGCTCTGTTACTCTGTTTTCTGTTAATGGGCTGTTTGGTTGTGGCTTTCGTCGAAATAGGAAGGCTTTGATCGGCTTTTATAAAGGTATTTAGGTTGCAATATAGTGGATAAGGCTGCCTTTCTTTTCTGCTGTTTTTAGTTTTTAGTTTCTTTTTCTGTGTATTGAAACTACGAAATTACCCTTCTAATGTTTTCGTCAAAATGCCACATCGGATTTTCCAGTTACATTACTTCGAAAGTTATGTAGATGTTTTTTTCTACTGATCATACGTGTACCGGTTTTAGTTCTTCGGCCATTAAAAATTAATATTGTATAATTTATATGAATACTCTCTCTCTCTCTCTCTCTCTCTCGCTCGGTCTGGCTTTGGCTCTGTTACTCTGTTTTCTGTTAATGGGCTGTTTGGTTGTGGCTTTCGTCGAAATAGGAAGGCTTTGATCGGCTTTTATAAAGGTATTTAGGTTGCAATATAGTGGATAAGGCTGCCTTTCTTTTCTGCTGTTTTTAGTTTTTAGTTTCTTTTTCTGTGTATTGAAACTACGAAATTACCCTTCTAATGTTTTCGTCAAAATGCCACATCGGATTTTCCAGTTACATTACTTCGAAAGTTATGTAGATGTTTTTTTCTACTGATCATACGTGTACCGGTTTTAGTTCTTCGGCCATTAAAAATTAATATTGTATAATTTATATGAATAGAGGTTTTATCTTTTCTTTTATAAATATTAAAAAAATAAAATTTTAAATATTAAAAAATAAAATTGGAATTAAGGTACAGAATTTTTTTTAGTAAAATTAATTTATTATATTTAATATAATTAAAAAAAATTTAATTCATCAAAACAACTAATTTAAGCTAGTTGTCTTTCATTATACATCTAAAACTGATGTGGAAAATCTGGCAAAATCATAAACACTTAAGGGTAAAAAAGAAACGCTGACGTGCCACGTGTGTCACTTGTGCTCGACCGTGGATGGTCGCCACGTCCGATTAAACAGTAACGTAAAAAAAAAACTTTCTACTAGTGGACAAAATAGGGGTATTATGGGAAATACATAATTTGTCTCTTGCGAGAACAATATTTGTACTGCTAGTTACGTATTTGTCGCGACGCGAATAGAGAGGGGGAGGTCTATCTGACCTGGTTATAGAAAAGAGGACAAAAGTGGACCTGTTTAGACGATCGAGGATCTCGACACGTGTATAATCTTTACATAAGGGACACGTGGCGTGGTCTTATCATGCATAGAAGGTGGGGGCGTGAATGGCACGTGAAGTGGGATCCCCACTAAGATCTAGCGCGTCCTTCTTGCCAGCTGGACTCTGCTGACTCTTCCCCGTCTTCTCAAACTCGACATTTCAAAATATCGCCAATTTGTCGCTTCTTCTTTCGAAAATGTCATTTTCCGATAAATTGAGATTTTTGGAAAAATACTCACCGTACAACTGTGAGCCTATTCACAGTAAATCAAGAAAATAATTAACCGCTTTTTAAAAAAATATATATTCACAGTAAACAATATTTGTAGTATCATTTATTATTTTTTTACCTATCTTTTTTGAATAAGTCATCAGCGCTCTTATTTATGCCAAATGTTTTTTCACATTCACTCTGTGAATAAATGAACCTATTTTTCGATTTTTTTTAAATATCCTTAAAATCAGAAAAGGAACTGTGTCTAGGGATCAGCATTACGTTAAACTACTTCCAATGAAAGCAAATTATTTTGGATTCAGTCTTATTAAATTTATTTTTATTTTTATAGTAACCGGATCTGAAATCAAATAGTATAAAAATTAAGTCTAATCCAATTAAATCAATTAAATTGAATCGGTTTGGCTTTCATTATTTCAGAGTAAATTTAGCTATTTTGAACTTAAAATTAATTCGATTAATTATATTATATGATAATTAAATCAAAATTGAAAATCATATAGTTTTCTCTAATCAAATCAACTCGAAAATTGAATTGCTAAACAATCATTCGTATATGTCCAAAATGAATCGATTGGATTTGATTTTCGTTAGAAACCGAGTTTTGCATACTGCAAAGCATGCAAGTGGGATGGGTACAATAAAATTTACACTACTTGCATTCAAACTTATTTAAAATTTCGATATTAAAATTTATTGTGAAATTACCATATAACCAAACTCATTTAAAATCTTAATACCTGCATCCTTTCTACACCTATTTAAGTGATACCCAAATCTGTTTTGAATAGATTAGGACAAGTAGGATACCTACTAAACCAACTCTCTTCATATGAATACTACCTTCAAACTCAACTTAACATGACTCATCTCAAATTCAATAAAATTTTTTCAAAATGCTCATATCCAAACTCGTTTAAAATGTTAATATTTGCATCCGTTTTACACTCATTTCAATCTGTTCTAAATAGATTAAGATAGGTAAAATACATACAAAGACCAATTCTATTTATATCTATAGTACCTTACTAAGTCCATTATATAGAATAAAACCAATGAAAATTGTAAAAAAGTTAAAATAAATATCAATTCATAAATATGAAAATTTATAAGTAAATAGATTGGTAAACAGAACACCTACAAAAAAATCCGCCTCGCTTCCATCCCTTTGCTTAAAATATGCTTAAATTTCACATGAAATATTTTATTATATAAATATTTTTAAATTATAGAATGGATTTTTAATGGATAATTGGTATCCGCATTTTTAAATTCACATTCGATCTAAATCTGTAATAAATAATTAATTTTATATTTATTTCCATCCTAAATCCATTTAATTAATATCTAAATCTACTTTAAATGGGTTTTGGCGAGTTTGATACTCGTGAAAGCCCGCCTCTCCCTTCCGTTTTGTTTAGTTGAGCATCACACTTTACATGTGAAAGGGAAATTTATTCTTTTGAAATTATAGTGATTTTTAAGTCAAGATATGATAAAAGTGATTCAAGAAAGGGAAAAAAAAAAAAATTCGAATAATGAGTTCATGATTCTAAATTCCAATGATAATGTGGTTTTTGCTGGCTGCCATAGGAATATTTATTGGGTGGTTGCTATAGTTTTGCATTACTAATCTAACAATGACATTTCAAAGTGTTTTATCTTGATAATATCTTGCATTATATATTCTTGGTTCTCCAAAATAAAAAAAAAAATAAATTCTTTAGAGTTATTGGATTTATTTTTTTAATAAAAGTATTAAAGGTTGCTTGCCTAATGACAATGTGCAATAGATTGTTTAACAAGATATTATCCTATTACAAATTGTAATTAATCAATTTTTAATTCTAAAAGTTTCATATTATTTTATTAACCATACCTCAAGTGTATGGCTTCTTAATATAATTAAGAAAAGTTATTTCCTCCATCTTTTTATATATAGGTAAATATATTATATGTTTTATACATTTATTAGAGCTAATAATCCAATTATGGAAATGGATATAATATATTCAAATACCTTACCCTATCTGGTTCGATTATATAAAATTTAAATACTAATAATTAAATATTAGGTGGGTTTATTACTAGTGTACTAGTTTCCAATTTGGGTAGAAGCAGAACACATGATTTTATTTTATTTTATTTTACAATCGTTCAAAATAAAAGGAAGAAGAGGAGAAGGAACCTCGTCTATCTCAGTGGCCTCTCCATTAGACAAGGAGAGCTAAATTTGCTAATTCATGTGCTACCTTAGTATAATTTCGTTTGACGTGGAGTAAATTGCAATTAGAAATACTTCTAAAAAAGAACACAGTTTCCATAATTGTATAATTATTTTTAAAAAGGTCGAATTTGCTAGTTAATAGTTTATTAAAATTAAAATGTATGATTATATTAAATACGTGAAATACATTAGCTAATTAAGTGTAGTGTTGTTGGTTTTCTCACTTATTTAAAGAGTGAAATATTTCGAATTTGAGTTATCTTGATTACAAAAGTTTTCACCAATTTGATGAACCAAAAGGAGCGCTAACCCCCTTTCTACTTTTACATCCCATAATGCTATTTTTTTTTTCTTTTTTTGAGGAAATGGTATTAATTAGTTAGCTACCTAGTATTCATCACATATGAGAAGAAGTACTTGATACTAAATAAAGAAGCTAACATTTGAATTATTTATGTTAGCTTTGTTTACTAAATATCTGCAATTTTATTATTGTTTGTATTTTTTATTTAAATAAATAATCTATTTAATTATTTTGTTTTTTTTAAGTGTTTAATACTCTAAAGAAATATGGCTTTTTAAGATTATTATTAAAATTATAATGTAAATAGTCAATACTATATATGTTATAGTGGTATTTTAGTTTTACAATGGTTTTGTAGAATTCATTTCAAATTCCATCAAATCTGATAGAATTTTAGTTTTAAATATAACCAATGAATTCTTGAAATTTAATTATGCATCTTAATCAAATCAAACAATTAAAATATGAAATCAATTGAATTCGACAAAATTTTGGCTTATAGAAATGAACCGATAGTATAAATATTTTCAAGTTTATGTTGAAAGTTATAAAGATCTTATTTGACAACAATTTTACATATAATGTTTAGTATTTTGACTCGGTCAAACATTTTTTATTATTTATAATATTCAGCGATATAATATTTATATTAAAATGTTTAGAGTTCAAAATAGTAAATTATGAAATGTAACTCCCATATAGTGTCATCCCCTATGTGGATCCGACAATACTCGAGTCGGATGTAGTCAAAGATCAGTAGTGGTTATAAACCAAAAAAAAAATATATTTACTAGATACAATTTTATAACTTGAAGTATCTAATAGATCAAAATAAAGCTGAAAGTGCCATAAAATTTTTTTTGTGAAAAATACAAGAGTAAATGTATACATTAACTTATTAGTTTTGTATATATAGAGGCCGTATGTTCTATCCTCTATAGCTTCATTTGGAAGACCTTATAGATAAAGATTCAATTCAATCCAATTTTGTTGGAAGAATTAAATTGATTTTTTATATAAGAATTTTCTAAATACAATAAAATAAATTTTATTTTATTTTATTCTCTTAGCAGCCTTCATTTATTTAAAAACAGTTATTGA